GAATACAGTTTGAAGATACAGTATCTTTTTATACAGCCTAATTGTATTTCGTTCACAATTCATATCGGCAAAATCCGTACACGAGGGCTCCTAAATTATTTGGAACATAATTACGATAGACTTCAAAATAAGTGTAGAATTTCAAAAGGAAGCCCCACAAAGTGTGTCAGGATAATGAATATACTAAGTTAGGTTTGTAAAAACACACACAGAGCTTATAAAAGCTCAGTTATTGTGCAATTAAACTAAGAACATGTGGCTTTGTCTGTCAGTAATGCGTGATTCATTGCAGGTAAAAGCCTTAAAAGGTTCTGCTAAGAATTGCAACCCATGCATTATCACTGGTCTAATCTGCATCCACCTTTCTTTGCTGGCTCTGCAATCATGCATCCGAGATGTTCCTGGCTTGTTAAATAATACATGCGATTTTCTTTTAAAATGTCAACCTTTAGTCCCAACCCTGCTGCAGTGTCCTTTGTGATGTTGATTTTCTCTGACAAGATTCCATTACAATTGACTGCCTAGCAAGTAAACCTGTAGCTCGTAAGCTTTTCACCTTCAATTACTTTCTTTTCTGTTTTTGAGGCTGTGTTCTAATTTCTTGAAGGCTAAGGTTACATTGTGGAGAAAAATTTGAGCATGCTACCGAACTGCAGTTAGAGTTTATTTGTGCTTTGATAAAGGAATATAAATGTGACTGGATTATTGCCTATAATATGGGAATTTGTGACTCGGAGCAGATTGCACAGTGCTAAAGGTTAAAACTGTCAAAGAGCTCATGGTAATTATTTAAGGTGGAAGCCAAATACTTCCTAAACCCAGCCTGAAATTTTTAAAAACAGAAGCTTATCGCTACACATTTCATGGGTCTACTGCTTAGCAACTCCCTAATTTCAAACTTTATCTGAACTCCCTTCTGTGCAATCAGCCCGTGCACCGTATTTTCATATTCTAACGGTACATAACAGGCTGCATTAACATCAGCACAATTGCTGTAGCTTTTTGTCTGCAGTCATCTTTGTCGTGAGATCCTCTGCGTGCAAAGCAACTAAAGTTTAAACTGTCCACAGTGTGAATGCAAATAAATGTTTTCTACTCGTGTCCAAGTTTCACCCCACCAACACTTACAGTCATTTTCAAATGTTATTTCATATCAGATGAAAAATAACTGACGATTTTTTTTACACACCCGTTTTGTTGTTTCACGCTGGTGGGAGAAAAGGAAATGAGCCTTTGCAGCTCAGGAAATGGGCCTTCCTCACACAAAACAAATGTTATTTCGCTGACGTATATATTGGCTCCTATCTCTGGCAGGATGAGAGCCAAACGTGATTATCACTAACGCTGTTTTGATTTTCCTCACTTTCTGCTGCAGATATGCACACTACCCACGTGAAGAGCGCAATATTAATGCAAGCTGTTGATACTTGAATGAGCTTGGAAAAGTTACAAGCTGCACGACGTGAAGTAGTTAGAATTAGTGGTGATACGCTTGTTCACCAATGTACACTATTCACACTAGTCTGATCCATTCCCTGGAGTTGCAAGTTAAGGGTTAACATGATTAGAAATGGTATGTGGTATGCATGGACATCTAAGAAGCTGGAAGAAAACGAATCATCAGGAGCATGGCTCCTTACCTGATTATACATTGGTATTAATGGTCGCAATCTCAATAGGATCCTAATGTACTTTTATATGCGAATGTCACTGATGTATTATGTTGAAACACACTTTCCTTCTTTGTAACTATAACACTAACAGATAACCAGGAGCCAAATGTACCAACTGACTGGCATGTTGCTGCCTTTCTAGCTGAGAGACGTTTCTCCTCTCTTCCCCCACTGGTAGATTTAAATTGATCTGACATCATTAACACACAGTGCTAATACCAGCCAGATAACAGAACATTAAAGCCAAAACTCCAACCCAACCCAAATCTTCAGATTCACTGCCAAAAGAACTTGTTGGAGGTTATTAAAATGGGAGCGGTCTATGGAATTGTTCTCATCACTTGTCTGTGTGTTACGTGATTTTAATTTTTATGTCAAATAGTTATCAATTGGAAAATAATTAACTAATAACCACTGGAAGCTCTTACTTTAGCTATTATAGACTGGTTGTTGAAATTTTACTGCAATATAAGCAAACAAGCACTAATGAGATGATGCTAGCATAAGGAGAGAGTACGTTAAACCCCCACCCCCTATCTCAGCAAGCAGCAATTTGAGATTATTCACCAGCAATTGCCCCTGAAAATTATTTTGTATTGTTCTGTTTTATGTAATTTGTTGGGAAGCCATCTCCTGTAAAGAGCGATGCTCAAAGACATGGAAAATTACAAAAACGTCTAACTCTGCTGATGTGACAAGTACCAAAATCAATCGGCCAACTGTTTTGTGTGAACTTGCACACGCGTCTTAATCTTTTATGGATTACAGAGCACAGGCAGCAATAAATTGCAAAGCAATTTACTAAAACAATAAAGCATGGTATTTCTTATTTGGAGCACAGCAGAATTGTAACAGGCTGTAAGCCATCAGGGAATCAAGATGCAAAGGCATGTAGAAACCATTAAATAAAGACTGAAAACACTACCAGTTGAAGTAAAACCTGCTCAAGGCTATAGCTCAGTTTCACGCCCAATTCAGTGAATATTCAATTAGATACTCTTCGGTGAGCTGCACTGTATATCACAAAGGGGTATGATCTGTAACTGATGACACAAGTTGTAAAAATATTAGGCTTGATAAGTGCAACAAGCCAGGAATAATTCACATAGTGCTATGAATATGCATGTTTGTGTAAATTATTGATGATTTTCCTGACACAGCATTTTCACTAGCTTTAATGTTCCCTGAAATAGTAAACTGAAGCCAAGAAGTTTTGTCTCCTTCGACTCAATATGTAAATAAGGACCTGGAAATCATGCCTTTTTTGTGCAGTATTGAATCCAAAATTGTTAATAAGCATTGATGAGTATTCTTTTGACCATCATTTACTGGGTGTTGAAGTATTACTTAAAAATCCTGAACTTTACAGTATATTTGATATTAGATAGAATTTACTCTTAATTTGTAACACTCGATATTGTAACCAAAATAAATAAACCAGCTCATAAGATAACTTGTATGTTGTTCAGGCTGACAAATTAACACTGTGTTGTTGAGCGCCTTGGACGTCCTCTCGATGTGAAAGGCGCTCTATAAATAATAATAATAATAATCCTTGCATTTGATATAGCGCTTTTCACGTCGGGAGGACATCCCAAACCGCTTCACAGAACACACTGATAAGTGAATTGACTGTATATTTGTGGGCGAACACAGCAGCTAATTGCGTACAGCAATATCCCACAAACAGTCGTAGATTGAAAATGACCAATTTATTATTGTTTTTGGTTTTGGAGGGATTATTATTAGGCTCTGTGTGGAGTAAGGAAACTTGCTTGAGGTTTCGCCCTGCCTGGAATTGAACTCAGGTCTCTCACTTGCAAAGCGAGTGCACTAACCACTGAGCTACAGGAGTCCATGTAAGTTTGTTGTTGTTGAATCCTTAATCTGTTCAGACCACTGAAATGTTGCATATATTCCTAGGGTTTGGTGCTCTGTTGTGGGAGCCTGAGCCATTGTGAAATGCTATTGAGATATGCCTTTCTTTGACTTAACTGGAGTCGTGGAGTCCTGTAGCTCAGTGGTTAGAGCACTCGCTTTGCAAGCGAGAGACCTGAGTTCAATTCCAGGCACAGGGCGAAACCTTGGGCAAGTTTCCTTACTCCACACGCCTAATAATAATCCCTCCAAAACCAAAAACAATAATAAATTGGTCATTTTCAATCTACGACTGTTTGTGGGACATTGTTGTGCGCAATTGGCTGCCGCGTTCACCCACAAATATGCAGTCAATTCACTTTACAGTGTCTTCTGTGAAGCGCTTTGGGACGTCCTCCCGACGTGAAAAGCGCTATATCAAATGCAAGGATTATTATTATTATTATTAACTATTTCGCTCCCTCCCTTGCCTCCTTCAAGACCCACCTCAAGACCCTCATCTTTGACCATGCCTTCGGCCACCATCCTGTCCTCCACCCCTCCTGATCCCAACCACCAGCTCAAGTGTGGATCCCTGATGGTCCAGCGCCTTGGGACGTCTTCCTGACATGAAAGGCGCTATACAAATGTAATTTGTTGTTGTTATTGATAATTGCAAACGAGAAGTTGTAATTAATGTTACGTCTTGTTTCCAAACTTTGCAGGCCCCATACTCTGCATGCAACTTAAATCTTTTTATTATTGAAATTTGTTACTCTGGAATCTACAAACAATGCAAATTTAAACAGTAGATTAATGGCCGACCTTGTCAATTTTCCAGATGTCGGACAACTAACCGTTCTACTGATGAAGGCGAATTGAACACATTCTTTAACTGCTGAGTACAGCCAGCAGAAACATCAAAGCACTGTCGGTAAGATGTCTCACTTAACCTTCTTATTCTTCAATCTAAATACTGTATGGTAAATTTCTATTTTTTTTGTTTCCCAGCCTGCTTGTTAAATATCTTCATTATAAATGTGTAGAAATTGGGAGGAAATGATTTCTACACTTGCAAAGTGCAGAATTGCAAAAAGGTTGAGTTCATATATTGGATTTCTCTCATACTGTGTGGGAAAACACTTCTGTAATATGATTTATACAATACTGAGATCTAATCAATAATCTGTAGCCTGCCAAAATATCATTTTTCATTTAGATCCATTAAAATGCATGAAAATGAAGAAACATTGACTTTTAGTGTGACTTTTGCAATCCCATAATGTGTAGTTCAAGATGGTAAACTACCTTTTTTCAGGGTTTCTGCCATAATCTCATTGTCTTGCTAAAAGCAATTTTGAAAGTATTCATAGAGCAGTGCAAAATGTCTGGCAATAATCGGTATTGGCAAACTAACTCCAAAACGAGTGAATCTTGAGTAGCTTAATGGTAGAGACTATAGAAACTCACCCGCACTGGAATTCAGTTCTTCATTCTCAGACTCTGTGCCATTTTGAGTACCATTACCATGAAGATTATTCATTGCTGCAAGTCTCAGCTTTTGCAACTTCATCGCTTCAGCCATGGCTGCTGCAGTTAAACCTGGCAAACAAGTGATGAAAACAAGGTCACTTGTAAAAGATGATGGTTCAGTTATTAGAATTGTCTTTATCTAAGGTGAAAAATTATTAAATAATTTGCAAACCACTGTGTCAGGAATGTCCAATTTAAGACTTAATACTTAGGATGTTTGCTTCAACCTGGACTGCCAAGTTGAAGACCCAAGTTCAAACACCATTCTTGATTAATATTTGTATTCAGGTTTCTTATAAAGGGCAAGTTTCATGGGTTTTGTTAGATTATCCAGAGCAGTTGAATAAAAAATATTCTGGATGAGGGTTTCTACAATAGTAAATTGATGGAGAAATAATCTTGATGGTGACCTTGAAGTTGTTTGACCATTAGGTGGTGGACCTTCCCACCACCACAACTGAGTTGAGAGAGGACATAAACTGGCAAAAACAATTTCATATGTGGAGTAAGATGTTCATCTATTATAATGCATGTTGAACACTTTCTACTTCAATTGACCAATGGGAACACCACTATACTTTAGATGGTCCTGACAGTATATCCTTAGACAAAAAAAAGCATAAAACTATGAAACGATTCTTTTCATTTGAGAGGACATGCTTGCTTGCAGTGGAGATCATTAGATATCACTGTGATATTGATGATCATACAATATAATGTAAGGGAAAGCAATGACAATCTGCAATGTGACTGACAGATGATTATTTGATGGGACATGTGAACAAGAACCCAATTCACAACACTCAAATTCTATCAGATGACTATGAAGAAGAATGATATCACATATTATTTCTCAATGTTTCTGGATGACAAAATAAATAAAGAATTGAAAACGCTCTTCCAATTACAGATTTTTAAATTGCCCCTCAAAAAAAAACTTAATGGTATTTTTCTCATTTGAAAAATAATAAAATAGCTCTCAAATGACTAGCACAATCCCCAAGCTGTCTATGGCAAATATTTCTCATTCAAAGGTTAGCAAAAAAAAGTCAGCCAATAGTTCTGTTCAAAGTGGTCAAATTTGCGGTCTATCCACTTGGAAAATGAGAAATCAACACCTGTAGCAAGCTTGTTTCTATTCTTTAATATCTTGGTAGTTTTCTGAAAATGAATATTTATTGTTAGTATGTCCAGTGTGTAATGAAATGTACATTTGTACAGCTAATATTTAAGGTAATTAATCATTGTAAACAGGTCCCCTGGAAGGGTGGTTGAAACCAGGCAATTGGACTCAGTTTATAAAGCTGCTTGATGTTGTGATGGGAAGAAGCTAGGATGGGTATTCTGGGAGAATGAGGTCAGATATGCTGAAAGGCTTTCTTCATCCCAACTAATCTTGTGAAATATAGTCCTCAACTTTAATTTATTACTTTCAAATTGGGTTTACCTGAATGATTCTTCAGTCTCTCAAAATGTGTTGGATAACCATAAATGCTTCAACTATAAATGCATTGGGATTGATCAATGTTTTTTTATAGCTGTATATACAACCTCCCTCTTAATTTGACTCGCATCTCTGTGAAAAACGCTGTATTAAACGGGCAGAATTGCCACACCATGCTAAGCCATCAGAGGAGCTGACACTTCTGCCTAAATGTTTTACACATCTAAGTCCTGACAGATGTGTAGCTCTTTGCCAAGAAGTATTTTCTTGGACTTGGATTTCTACAGACTGATGCTGAAAAGAATATTTTAACTCTTTCATCACCTCAGTCTGTTTTAATCATTGATTCAATCAAAACCAGAAGACATTTGGTATAAATTTATACTTTACAAAAAAGTGATTAGATTTCTCAAATGCATTTTCTGTAACGGAGAGAGTTTGCAACCATTGTCTCTAAAATGCCTTCCTCATGATAGTGCGAGTATGATTCTGTTACATCTGACAGTAAAGTGAGAGAAGCAATATAACAACATTCCCCAACTCCCACAAAACCGATTAACTTTTGTCTCATTCTGGATGCACTTATCTGTATCACTATTCTGTTTACAATTGTCATGGCGATATAACATGCTCAGTGGTGGCAGTATGATCAAAGCAAAGCATAAGTACATGGAACAGAACCAGTGTGTTCTTCTAATGCGTTTGCAAATGGGCAGTGAATGTGGCGGTACAAGGTAAGTAAAATGGGAGGCAATCCATTTCAGTCACATTGAGGATGATGTATTAAAGTGTACTATAGTGCATGGTGCACTAAAGTTAAGAACTACAGTGAAAGCCAGTAGCTCAGTGGTTAGAGCACTCAATATCGGCAAGGCAAAACCTTGGGCAAGTTTCCTTACTCCACACACCTGATAATGATGCTTCAAAACAAAAATAATAATAATTTGGTCTCGTCAATCCACGCTTGTTTGTAGGACACTGCTACGTGCAATTGGCTGCTGCATTTCACCCACAAAATATACAGTCAGTCCACTTTACAGAATATTCTGTGAAGCGCTTTGAAACTTCTTGAAGACATGAAATGCGCTATATCAAATGCAAGGATTATTTATTATTAATATAACTAAATAACTGAAGTACACTTGATGTTTGGGATGGAGATTTACACTTAAAAAAAAACATACATAGATCCGACATTATCTTGAGCAGTTGTCAATGCAAAGTGGTTTTGTTGAGATTGGATTTTTGACTGGATCAGATGAGCAGCTGCCTGACTTTGTACTGTTTTGTGCAGAGATCCATATAATGTAATTCAATCAATACCATCTCTTTTACATTAAGTCTTTGTGTTTGTATGTTACTCTTTAAGTGTTAATAGGCTAGGTCTGATGTGACATGACTAATATTTGTTTTAAATCAAGACACAAACGCTATTAATGTTAAAACTGACACAAGCAGTACCCCAAGGCCGAAAGCTGGAAGTGCACTCACAATTTTGATGAGGCTTATTGGCCCTTTTCATAGTTGTGGATTTTAGCTTGGGAAAAGTGAAGCAATCTCTCGCTCTGTTGGCCTCACACTTCAGTTGGAAGATTATTAAACAGCTTTATTGCTGCTGGTAAAAGCATCTTCAGTTTGTACCTTTCCCGTTTTGCCTGACAAAAGAAGCTCTTATGGGAGGAGTGGGGAAGAGCAGGCAAATAACTTTTTTTGTTTAAAAGAGTAAAATAGGAGATCTGAACATATTTAACATAAAGTAAATAAGATTTCAAATTGGCCACATTCATATGTTTTCAAAGCATGACCAGTAATATTTCCTTCAATCCCATACCACTGGACCAAAAGTGGAGCAGCAAACACCTACTCTCCGATTTACCCTTTTCAGCTCAGCTCTTTGCAATATTCTCCCCAATAGATGTATTTCTTCCACTACTCACTGTTTTCCAAGAATAAAATCACATGGGCTTTGGTTCAGCATATCTAGATTTCTTTGCTAAATCATTAGCATCTATTTGAAATGCATGTGCATAATCATTGCACATATGAAACAAATGGGAGTATTTCAAAAGCTGAATTATTTCACTACTCTTAAAGAGTTAAGCCTACCCATGTTGACAACACATTTGGACCACCACTAAGTTGTGTGATCTTCAGTCCCTCTGGTCTACGTAATAGTACACTTGCCTTTCCATGTATTACCATCTATTTTAATTCTCAATGTATAATAACAGATGGTTCAGAATGCATTACAAAGATGTATGTGGCCATTGGAGACTACATAAACCTCACTAATTCATTTCCCTGCCAGCCATGATTTTTTTTCCTTCTCTTTCTTAAAGTACACCTGGCATCATGCCAAGTTGAAGAGTATAAAAAGTTAGCCGAAAATGCAAAACAGTTAGTATCTGATGCTAGAAAGGTAAAGTTACAGGAGAATTCAATTTTATTTTTCTGGTGTCACATCATGGAAGTATCAGAACTGCTTGCTCTTGTCTTTTTTGTAGAAAATGCAGAGATTCAATAATAATAATCCTTAGACAAGGCAGGGAGAAGGTCAAAAGTTTTTACAATGGGAACACTACCATAGTTTTCAATAATTTAAGATCTAAGGTTGCTTGTGATGACACTGCAGCTTTCACAAAGGACTGCACATTACTGCTGTCAGAGGTGTAGGTGTGTTCCATTTCTTCACGCTCTGAAAATATTATTGAGCATGTCTAAACACCATTCCCTGATTTATTGGGAGTTACGATGATTACTTTTATTTCAGAGGAGGAGGGGATGAATTTTGTGGTCATCAAGGAGAAGGATGTCATGCTTTGAACAATGAACTTTTTTTCTTTTTCTGCATCTTGTGTCAGTATCCCAGGTCAATGAGAGCACGGCCATATGGAGTCCTGAATTCCCTTTACTCTACAGAAGTGCCCCTTCGCTTCAGTCTCACAAGTGCAATCCCCTTCTGGTCCAGTGTGAGTGCTTTCTCTTCCCACATCACTCATCCTTATGGCTGATGTGCCTCAAGACAGTGTTGTGCCAATTCAGTGCCTTTTCTAAAATTGTTTTGCTCTCTGGTAGGATTGGATTGATGTCCCCAGCTAGCCTGGGTAAGATTTAAATTAATGTCCCAGAAACAAAAAGAATGTGGTGTGTTCGTATCACCTATTCCATTGGATATTGCTCCAGAGAACAGCAAACAGTATCTGAGGTCATGATTTAAAAGTTCAAATAGTTTAACAAATGGTTAAACATAAGCATGATCCTATTTTCCCTCCCGTTGAAAATATCCTACTACTTTATCACCTCAGACACAGTTTTTCAGCATAAGATTTTAAGTGTAGCTAAAAATCAGAGAAGTCAATTAGAAGGAAATGTTTGCTTCTCTTTTCCCTTCTCCCTGTCAATTTTTTTAAGACTCCAGTGCTTTACAGTCTTGGCTTTTGTGGTGTATCTGTGGGTTTTAAGTCGACGTTAAGTTATTGCATTTCTGAACTATCGCACGTCTGAGGTAATGTCGCCAGTTTTTATTTTTGTATGAGTTATTACTGCATTGGTTGCTGACAGATGTGTACAGGCACAGTAACAATGCTTTACCACATTTTATAGGTCTGATTGAGCATCTACCACA